ACCTCGGACGTCGGTCTCAAGCCGGGTTGGGGCGTGCGAAAGAGGCAGCTGAACACTGGAAGTGAAAGACGTGGCCGAGTTGGTGTCATTGTTGAAAGGGCCCTTCCTAGATGCAAGCGTTTTGACATCTGAAAGGGACGCAGCTGTTTGGGGATTAAACATGGAAAGCTCCTTCAAAGGCAGGTGGCACATGTGCCAGGACAAGTTTAAATAGGTCCTGATGTTGATATTATTGCATCCCAGATGTCTAGATCTTTTTTTTGGATCGGAGCAGTACCTTCACTTGCTTTTTGTTGAAGCGCGGCAATATCGACCCCGAGCGTTTGGAATTTGGAGCGTTTCACTCACCTGAACCTCTGAGCATGTTCAACCACAAATATGTTCATTTCGACACGTAGAAGAGCTTGACCGAGCTCATGTTCATTCATTTTCCACAATAGCAGCAGGAACATTGTCGTACGAATATCGAAAGGAACCCAGCCCGGCTGGCATCCTTTGTGGCGATAGCTTTTTGAATTGAGGTGCAATAACCCGGAATGTGTGCCCAAAATGAGGAGGTTTTTTTTCCTCAAAAGGTGACACGAGCGATGACTAACCAAAACAGACTTGATGAGCCTTTACTTTACTGGTTGATTTGCGAATATCTAGTCACTTTTAGTCCATGACACTATGAACAGGTCTATTCGTGCAAAAGGACACTCTTGCTCTTGCTTTCTTTGCAACTGCAACACCTTGCGACTGCTGTCGTTTCTTCTTATCGTACTGAGTATAGCCCTGTTGCTGTCGTTTTTTTCCATAGCTTATGACTAAGAGGACCTTTCTTCAAGTGATGTAGACCCGACACGACACGTACACATGCAAACTTGACTGGGCACATCACGGGACATGGCCCAAGACGGGCCAGGAAGGATCCGATGCCCCGACGACTAGTCGCCTCGAATCTCTTTGACCTTGTTGCAACGAGAAAATGCTCAGTATCGACCAGGCCCAAATTGTTGATACTCCACTGGTCCTGGTAGCAACTCAATTCTGTTGCCTTGCTGATTCCACAAAGATTTCTCAAGATGTTCCAAGTCCTCGTAGACGTCTTGTATGACATCACTGTTTCACTGCAGGAAGCAACCAATTCTTTGCTGTTGGTTCATCGTTCTCAGAAGCCCCTTTCTTGACCTCTCCACTTCCCCAAAAGGGGACATTGGACATATCATCTCCACCCTTAATAGCAATGGCCTCCACCCTTACTAGCAATGGCCTCCACCCTTACTAGCAATGGCCTCCTACCTATGTCAACTTGTTCCTAGTAGCGTCCTTGCTCCTAGTAGCGATGCCAGGAGCCCCTAGTAGCGTCCTTGCTCCTAGTAGTAAGGCCAGGAGCCCCTAGTAGCGAACCTTGTTACTGTGGAGCGACTCCGGGGAGTTTTCTTAATGATTGTATACAGATGGCTCGCCGTGGCTGGCCGATCGCCGCCTCCCGGCCGCTCGTTCGGTGCGCAGAAGAGACCGCCATCCGTCTCGGCGAAAGTTTGAAGCCAGACGTCTTGGGCGGTGACGGCGGACACTTGCAGGGGAAGACGACGGAAGTGGCGTTCGAAGCTCGATATGTTGTGTTCTTGCACCAAGCGCGCATATCCATTCCTTGTGCAAAGGACGGAAGGTTGTGGGTGAGAAGAGAGACAATTGTAAACAAATTGATGTCCGCATTGTCAGCATCGTTTGCAACTAAATTTGAAGATACTTTTGTAGCGAGAAGCCTAAAGAAATGAAGGTTGGGGAATGAAGCGAAACCACAGATTGGCATCACACGCTTTAGATCTATAAACATTCACACAACACATTGTGTCATATTTGTGATCTTGGTTTTACAGTATTCTTGGTCCGTTGGAGGTCATCGCTACTAGGTTTGAGGCCATCGATAGTAGGTTGGTTCTCAGCCCCTGCAAGGATACTAGGTAGGCAGGCCATTGCGTGCCATACTTGAAGAGGATTCAGGACGTCTCGGATGATCCAGACTGGCGAACCTCCAAAGACATCAAAGCAAAATTGGTAGCTTTGCCGCATGCCAGCTTGTTTATGGTTTCCTACAATTCCTGGGATTCTTATGGATAACTTTACATTTGAACTGAATGGATATGACTCGTTCTATGTTTCGAAGCTCCTGGACTCTTAAGGAAAAGGCAAATTCCTCAAGCAGCTTTCACAGAAAACAACATCATTCGACCGGACAAGTTCTGAAGCTGGTGACTTTGCAAAGGAGGACCAACGAAACAATCAAACGAAGCGAGGGATCACCGAGGTGCTCCGTTGCATGAGAGCTTGAGAGCCTTGGCGGATTCTCAAGCCGTTCCGTGCCGCCTGGGGCACTTGAAAGAACAGGTCAAACGGGAAAAGAACAGGAAGGCATCGCTACTAGGAGCGTTCGGACGCTACTAGGAACAAGTGCATCGCTTCTAGTAACAAGTGCCTTACTAGTAGTAACAAGAAGCTACTAGGGGCTCCTGGCCTTACTACTAGGAGCGTTCGGACGCTACGAACGGGGCTCCGAACAAGGACGCTACTATTGGAATGACAGATGTGCCATACAACGTGGTTGTATGTGGTCGTGAGAGCTGTGATAGCAGCGACAGGATGGATCACACGATGGATAGGCACCGCATGGAAAGAAGGCATCAATGGCATCAAATCTAAAATATCCTCATGGAGTTCTCACTGAACCACCCCTACTGGACCTGAAGTAGCTCAAGGCGTCTTCACATGTTTGGGAGATGGACAGAAGCACTTCTGGCGCCCAAAGCTCTCGCTCGAAGATCGACAATTCCAAACCTGAATGGAATCGTTCGCTTCACTATGCTTCGCTCTTCTCGTGAGAACTCCGGGCTGAATGAACCCCATTATATATATATATAAGTCTTCCTTTTCTTTCTTTGTCTCTAATGGCAGCCTCCAACCTAATAGCGATGGGCTCCAACCTAATAGCTTCATGGACCCAGAGCTTTCCTTAGATGAAAGTCTCAGTGGCTGGGAACCCCGCACGAAGTGAAGACGAATGGAGCAGAAAACCAAAAAAACAAAGCAGAGCACACCTTCATCGAAATGAAGTGCCTCATGTACAGCCTTGGCGACCGATGTGCATACAAATTGCACACAGGATTGGTGGATCCATAGGGGTGGAGCCACTTGAGAGGGTACCCGCAGAACCATGAACCGACCCGTACCGGAAGAGCGAGGGGCGTTTTCCCTGTCGCCCAACGAGTCAGTGAAACGCGGCTACTCTTTGCTCTGCGAAAAGCTGCGGGCAAAGAGTCATACATCGACCGCCGTAAGCCACAGATGTGGGGTATCCCATGTCAATGTATCTTCTTTGTGTTGAGAGACTGGAGAAACCACGAGAAATGCATGTTGACTCTGGATTTTGGGTGGACAAAACATAATGAGACCATGCAAACCACAAACTCAGGTCTGTTTGGGGCATGATGCATTGCTTGAAATGATAGGCAACTCTTTCGTTGTTTTTTTGTGTCCTTCTTTCCAATCATCGCAGGTTTTGGGTGTTGAGTCTGATTTCCCGCACAACATCATGCCCACAGAAATTGGTACTTACAGTGAGTCAGTCACATCACCGGATTTGCAGCTCCCATCACTCCCTGAAACCCCAGAGTCCAGATCGGTGCACAGGGGGCCCTCCAAGTGGTGCGCTTCCATGGCAGCGACCGTCGCTGATTTGTTATGTCACGCCCAGAAAGCGCCGGACACCAACAGCAATAGAGAAAGACTTCATAATATGAGATGAGATTTGCGGTTTGGGGGTTGGGAAACTTACCATGAGACGATTCTTTGAAAGATGTTTGAAGCAGTTAGCTGCTTTTGTTTACAATATTTGTATAACATGATACATCTTCACCACCTGTTGGAAGTCCTTGGGCTCCTCGAAGCAACCATGCTCGTCCCACGAGCTCCGGACTCCGGGTGTGACGCACCGATGCCTCTGCGGCTGTGCCGATGTCTCTGGCTGCTGTGTCGAGTCGAGCACCGGTGGCTTTCTCGTTCCGGTGGCTTTCGCTTTGTCAAAGTTTAGGTCAGTTTTATCTCAGATATAGTGTTTGCTTGTTCCTTATTCAATATGACAAATCTTACACTCAATAGATCTCAATACATCTCAATGGCATTCAATTTCATGCCCCCCCCACCTGTTGGCATTGGCAGGTATCAGAGTGTTTTGCATGAAGGGTTGTAGGTCTGCGAACTGGACTTTGACATCTTGGATCTCTCTTTTTTGTCCAACTACAAAAAGACCCCAACTACATCATCTACGTGCTGTTGCGCTTGATTCCTTTTAACAATTCGGAGTTGGACCATGAGTCATCTGGGGTTTTCTCGAAGGTACGCGACGTTCTAGTGAGGTCCAGTCAACACGGGAACAACATCAGGGACTTTGAGGTGCATGCTCCACATCGTTCACGTTCTGTCATCGACTCCCCAAAAACCACATCCACGCCGACTGCGACCACCAGTGGCAGTTCATCACCGCCGCGAGCAAAATAATGCGGAAGTGCTTTCGATGGGGCAAGGTTGTTGGCAGTGGTACCAGCTTGGGTTAATTATGGTTAATTTGGTTTCTGGTCAATGGAAGAAGGGTTTCAAATTGGAATTTGGTTGATTCTGTGTTTCTCGGCCAGCCCATGCCACTGAGCACAGCCATGTCAGACTACCTCTTATGGGCTGTGCACTCTTGCACAGATTCAATCCACTTTTTTGTGACTTCTTCTTGTTTATCATACTTTAAACTACTGAACTACTGTGCCTACTTTGCATCAAGGTATTCCATATCAGAAGATGTGGCATATGAAAGACCAGTGGAGCTCAAACTTCGACATGTTTGACCAATTCAATTCCATTGGGTTTGAACACGTTCTGAGTTTCTTGAAGGCATTCCTCCATGGCATCCTCAGAGGTACTCACAAAGTTCTATATCCACCCCCAGCGACCTCGGCCATCTGTGGCAGGAAGCAACTGGATGGGACCTCTGCTCAGATGGAGAAGTCACACTGGCTGGACCTTGCTGAAGAGACGATGTTCTCCAACCTTATAGCTGTGGCCTCCACCCTAGTAGCGATGGCCTCCATGTTGGGATGTGGGTTTGGAGTTGAGAATCAGTGGAACTCTCAAACGAAATAGGTGGCCCAGATAAGCATCCGGACCAAACCGGTACAAAGAAGGACATCTTGAATCTTGAAAGTTGATTCATTTCAACACGAGGCTACCCACCCTGAAGTGAGCACATATTTGTTTTTCAGACCAAAGACTGACTTCGTGGCACGCCTTGGCAGTTTCTGTGAAGGGACTGGAAGCTGCAGTCTTTCTTCTGGTTGACTATGAGCACGGAAAGGCATCGGCAAGCAGGCAGAACAAAGGACATTCGAGTGAGGGAAACACATATCTCAGACAGATGAAGTCGCTCCCTCCAAGCAGGTCCCAAGGAGTATATAGATGGTAGAGTCCACAGATCACAGATATAGCACATGTGGCGGCTTTCGTTGAGTCTTGCAACAAGGACCTTGCGTGAACTGAGTAGGACCTTGGACCTCACCACTTTCATCACCAGGTGATGTCCACGGCGTCAACACACTGTTGAAGCGAACACCGCCACGATAAGCGGCCGCGGGGCAGCGACAGCGGGGCGTTACCGTCCGCCATGGGCCACGGTCTTGGGTGCGACAGCGCGGTGCTGCGGGGCGGCCAGGCAGCGAAGGATGCGAGGCGGGGGTTGGGCGGATGAAGGATGAAGCGGGTCCATTTGAACCCCAAGGACCTGCCGGAGAAATGCCATCTTGTGATTTCAGGTGTCACGATTCTTTGAATAGCTGGTGAGCTAGTCACCGACTAAGCCACAGGTGGACCATGGTGGGTCTTCTTTGTTGGACAAGACGGTCCTGTGTAATCCTCTCAAGGTTCAAGAATTTGCACACTGCAAAACGGGTGCTCAAGGTATTCCAGATACGGAGATGTTTATCCTGGAATTACCTTCACTAACTTAAACCTATACAGACTACAGGCCTGTTTTTCTGCTCTTCCTTCCCGAATGTCCTGTCATCACAGGTCTGCACCAGCTGCTGACTGCACTGAGCACGGGGACGGGGCCTGAGATAGTGTTGAAGTGGACCTTCACACCCCCATGAGGACGGGATATTTTGGAAGTGGAAGTGTGACGTCATTCCATGTGTGGATAAGTATTTCGTGTCGAAACCAAGAAGCAACACTCACAATGTCCCAAGACTGATGAACACCATGAACAAATTAGATAGGTCCCGAGTCAGACATAGCCGATATGACAGGATTTCCCCGAAGATCTTGAAACAAATTCAGTTGGCAAAGGATCTTGAATTCAAGGAGTGCAGATCCACCGGATATTACCCACTTGGATGTCTTTCGCTCCGTTGGCTGGATTTCCGAGGCGAGTGGCTGGCGATCTCATCGTGCCCGGGAGCAGAGCCGGATGCTGGGATCATCGATTTTCCTACGAGAGGTGCAGATCCGATGCGAGAGGAGGCCACCTTTTGACCTCCTTGCTCCGTTCGTAGCGATGCCCTTTGTTACTAGTAGCAAGAATGCTCCTGGTAGCGATGCCCTTTGCTCCTAGTAGCGTCCTTGCTCTTGGTAGCGATGCTATTAGCGATGCAATCTTTGTGGATCCTTGACCTTTTGGACGTCTTGGGCTCTTTTTGTCGATTCTGCAAGCAAGTCCTGCACAGATTTGTCCTCAGTCAACCGCCGTCTTCGCGCCGCTAGGTGTTGCCTGAAGGATGATCTTCCAAACTGCTTTGATGAAGATGCCTCACTTACCAAGGAGAGGAAAACAAACAATGCATGCGGTTCGCACCTCCACCGAGTCATTGGTATAGAGTACGCCAGGGCACAAAACGAGATCAAGTCAGGGTGTTGTTCAAACCTTCAATGTATATTTATGTTGGGTTGGTATTGTTACTAGTAGCTTCTTGCAACTAGTAGTAATGCCCTTGTTACTAGTAGCGATGCCCTTGCTACTACAAGCGGCTCAAACCTGTTGCGTTGATGCCATGCTTCGGCCCCCGGAAGTCTGAAAAAAGGGAGCGAAGATTCGAGGTGAGGGAGACCAGTTAGCATTTCCGAGGCCTGGACATAGGGGTGCAGTTTTTATCCGTTTTATTTGTTGGTTTTTGCGACCGGTGCGAGTACTCACTTGCAGCAGTGGGAAGAATTCTATCCTAAATGTCCTCAACCTGGACAGATCTTTCGACATGTTCTGACATGGCTGGGATTCTTCCGAATCTCCGCAGCCCACAATCCATGTCCCCAGCTCACCGCCTGAACGTCGCGTCGTCAGAAAAGGACGTTTGCTGCTCGGCCTTCGTGGAAGTGGCGCTGCAAAGCGAGGACACCGAAGGCGCGCTGCGTCTCAGCTATGTGCTCATGTCAGAAAAATGAAAATGTTTTTTTTTTTATACTTCCTATTATAAGCATAGGCGGTAGTGATGGCAGAGTGGCAGGCGGCAGCAGCAGCAGCAGTAGTAGCTGGACTCCGAATGCATTACGGATAATGCATGACAATGCAATATGCACCCACACTGGCATGTGATCATGTGGCTCAAACTCCCTTTTGTTCGCTCCCTGTCGCGCAAAAGACTTCGCTCTTCGACGTGTCTCGCCGCCGCAGATGTGGCGACCCGCTTCCCGCGCTACAGCACCGTGGACTTGGCGCCCGACACGCCGGAAAGACTGCGGCGTTGCCGCTCGTCGACGCGGCGGGAGACGGAAGAGATGTTGGAGACATGTAGTTGATATGGTTTTCAAGGTTGATATGGTGGATGTGGATGTGGAAATTCGGATGTCAAACTGAACTGGAGTCTTCGATTCTCTCCAACGTTTGCATGGTTTGGTTGCCAAGCGCCAGATCGAGATTCCAGAGAGGACTACCAGTAGAGAGGTGTTGAATAACTGTTACAAAAAAGTTTTGTAAAGAGTAGAGATTGATATGATTTACGGCAAAGAAAAGGCTGGGAAGCCTTTTTCGTTCAGCTTTCGCACTGGCCTGGCGCGAGATGAGGCATGGAAAGTCCATATGAGACACCCTGGGCGGAGGAGCAACCCGCGGACTATCTTTGTACGAACAACTTTATCCAAGCAACAGCCTGTGTGGCTGGAGCCTGGGCATGAAGAGATGAGCAAACGGCTTTACCACAGGAGCCATAGGAATCATTATCTAACATAAAGATCTAGCAACCTTCCCAGCAAAGAAACTTCCTTACGAAACGGAATGAATCAACGGGTCCTGTGCGAGGTTGATGACATTCCTTTTCAATAGTCTTTTCAATCTATTTCAACCAGATCAAGTTATGAGGTGCGGACCAGGAAAGAAATGGTGGAGCTTTGAGAAGAACTATTATTAACTAGTTCTCTGGTGGACCTTTGTGCAAGCGAACCTTGCGTGTGGAGTCCGGGTATGTTGTGTACATCCATGTTGTGACCCTTGCCCTGGCTGGGGGAGATGGACGGCCTAGTAGTAACTAAGGCCAGGAGCCCCGTTCGTAGCGTCCGAACGCTCCTAGTAGCGATGCCCTTTGCTCCTAGTAGCGTCCTTGCTCCTAGTAGTGAGGCCAGGAGCCCCGTTCGTAGCGTCCTTGCTCCTAGTAAAGGAACATAATTAGCCCAAATTCATCCCCCATATCTTGCGCCGATGACATACGATCCTCGTGTGCAGTTGAGGGACTGGCTTTTTGTACGGACCCACCGATCCCTTTCATTTTTTTTCAGTGCCGATGACTGAGGACTGCCTGATGTGCAGGTGATTTTCGATATCTTCTTGGGAGGCGTCCATCTTTCCTTCAGCCGAGCGAATTCCTTGAGAAGCATTCATGTTTCTGTGGCAGTCACCCTCAACTATGTTAGCCTAGAAACTTTGGTGCTATAACCTAAGGAGCACACACACACATCAAGAGTCCCATTTTCACACATCAAGAGTCCCATTTTCCAGCTTCGTGTGCTCGTCCAGGGAAGAATTGAATTCACTTAGATTGTCTGGAACAGACAGCAGGTCCAAATACTGTTGACCTTAGAATTTTTCAGGCATTGAAAATCAGGCTTTTGCAACACAGTTTGTATTGACCGCTTTGTGTTCAAATGTTTTGGCAACTCACATTTAGTGTTGAACAAGTTGACCATTTCATTGATTCGGACAAATACGTAGTTGAATCATGTTGGATCTGTATGATGATCTTGCTCGGTGCTATGCAAACCAAACTTCCACTGCTTTGGCCCCGGTGTTTTCACCGAACCCACCGCCGACGCGGGGCGACACAGCGCTCAGCAGGTGGGTGCACCAGCATGGCGGCGGCCCATGGCTCGGCGGGGAAGGTGCTTCCGGCGGAGGCGGGAAGGTGCTTCCGGCGGGAAGGGAACGGCGCTGCTTTTTGTAAAGGAAAACAACATGCCGAAAGGAAGTAAGGATAAGAAAGGTCTAAAATGACACGACATCATTGACAGACAGGGAATTAGCTATGAACAGTTCGGCCAAAACCAGCACAAACCTCTAACTAGTCATCCGACTATATACGATGTTTAGTGTTACGATGATCAAGTGTTTGGCAGCGGGGAGTTAAGTCCGGGAGGGATGAACTGCATCGGTGAAGCTAGGTGACACTGGATTCGACCAGTCGTTCTTTTCTTGGTGTTTGTGGGAATCACTGGAGTTTCCCCATGTGAGCTTTGGTGGTCTCTGAAAATTCACCTCGAATTTATTTGTTCATGAAACCTGGGAAGCCTCTCTCCGCACAACCAACCAGTTTTTCTTGTACCAAGGGAAGCTATTTATCAGTAATAAAAAAAAAGCTGAGGCGACTGGGGATTTCATCATGAGCTTGTGGAACAGAAGACGCATTGACGGATCAACTGCAGTGGGATGAGAAGCGTGAACTCACGGATCCGCAGGTGTTCTCCTTCGACCTCCCAGAGAAGCTGGCCAAGTCCTTGGCACCAACGGGACGCCTCGCACAAGGAACGGGTGCTGTGGGATGGGAAGGGCGGAGATCCGCACGTGGCTGTGTGGTTGTCATGTAATCAGCCATGTGGCAGTTGAGCTTGACCGGCACGGACAATGGTTGCCTTTGACCATCGGTAAGACATGTTTGAGAATGTACCTTCACATCCAACCCAACTGTAACTAAACAACGACTATATAAACAACTCAACCACCAAAATCACCCATCTCACTCATGTAATGTTTTTGCTTCCTCAATAACGCGCCACCTTTGCCGATGTTCTTTTTAGGTGATGGGACTTGGTGGGACATCACGGTGGTGAACGAGACGCCGCCTCAGCCCAAGCTCCAGGAGGTCTTACTGAGGCCACACCCGAAAAAAACACGGGGATTGTCAAGCCTTCCCTTTGAGTATCTTTGGGGGTTGCGAGGTGGATGGGTGTGGACCTGAAACTTGAAGCTGTGAATGCAAAGCTGACTGATTCGTTCTCCCCTCCGATCCATCGATATCCACCGCCCTTTTGGGGGCGAAGGCCGGGTGCTGGTCGCATGCCGCGCCTGGTGCTGGTGGCGGACTATTTGGAAGTGGTGGCAACAGCCTCCTGGAACACCTTGGATGCGCCAAGCTAAGAGATCTCAAAGGATGAAGAACTTTGAATCCGGGATTGAAGAGATTTTGACTGGATGTCTTAGATCTTTGGTTTGGCTAAACCAGCAAGGTTTCTTCTCATGGAAATGCCCAGAACTGGTCCGGAGCTGGCCAAACGCATCAGGTGCTGTGTCAACACCGTCAATCGTTGGATTTCGTGGTAGTGGACTCCAGCGCGAATGTGCTCTTCGAAACTTGGAGTGCATTGTCCACTCCCAACTTGCTAACCCCTAGCTACTAGGAACAAGTGCATCGCTTCTAGTAACAAGTGCCTTACTAGTAGTAACAAGAAGCTATTAGAAACACTGGGCGCCATCCGAGGTCATCCATATTTGATCCCACCGCACAGGATCTCCATGTCGAACAGCCCAACCATGTCTAACAAGTCCCTGTCAGACATGATAAGTTTTTTTTCATGCCAAGGAAAAGGAATGGCTGATCATTGAAACGCTCTGCCGGCCGAAGCGCGTGCTGCTGACGAATTTGAATCTCCCGAGTGCCACGGCGAGGATAGACGGAAGACGGAAGAGCCCGAAGAGTAGCCGCTGATCGAAGATCCTAAGCGGCCAATTACGGGGTCCTCATGGAGATCTCAGACACGAAGATTCTGGGTTTCGCTCGAGCCAGGGAGGTCGCTTCATTCATGTTTCGCAAACAAGAGATCCTTCAGTTGTGGATCTCGCCCGCCTGGCTGGGCCTGGTTCACTTCCTCATCCCTATAAGGGGTCGGACCCATAAGGTATGGTGAAGGATATGAGTAGGTCTTTCTGTTTTGACTTCAGTTTCGATCCGAAAAAAATTTACCAGGCCACACCCGATTTCAGCTCCACTGACCAAGATGCTTGAAGCAATGTGAACCATCCATTTGAGGTGCCTCTTCTTGGATTTGGCATCGCCTAACACGCCTGAATTGGCAGGAGGTGGGGAACGAAGGACCGGAAAGTCACTTGGAAAACGTTGGTCACTGCATATTGATCATATCAGACCAAGTTGATGAAACTTGCCTAAGTAAAAGCAGGAAAACTACAATTCATCACTTGCTTACTCATCACTACAAATTGTGATGCAGATCATGTGGGGTCACTACTTGCTGGATGGAGACGTTTGGCCGCCTCACTCCGAGATGCGGCGCCTGCGGAGCTGGAGCTTGTCGCTTCGGCGTTGACGTCGAGATCCCGTGGAAGGGCGCCAAAGGAAAAGGATGACTTCCATGGAAAACTCGAAGACAAAGATGTCAAGCATTGCTTACATATCATGTTTGTTCAACTCTTCAACCCCTTGAGCAACCAGGCGCTTGAAAAGGCTTCTATTTGCCAATAACATCCAATAACTCCTACCGTGGCGTCTGTTTTGAAGCCAAACCAAACTCTGCAGCGGGTAACTGAGGTTGTCCCCACCGCGCTGAGACCGGAGCCTGCGCAGATCGAGGAGATCAGTTGCGCTGAACGTGCTGAGATCGGAGGCGACCGACGCGGTGTCACCGAGACCGGAGGCGCACGGAAGGCATCGACTCGTGGGATTGAAGAGACGAGATGGTCAAGAGACTTAGAGAGACAAATGGGCGGAGAAGACATCTCTGAGTTGAAAAAGACAGATTCACATCATGCACAGATTCACAGGTTATGTTTTTTTTTTTTAATCCATTGTTTTCCATGTTTTTCCTGCATGAAGAGGAGATCGTTAGCTGAGCCTTTTGGGTTGTAATTGTCATTCCTAGGATGGGATGATCAATTGGTGAAATGAATCATGACCCAAAAATCAACATAGAAGATATAGAAGTCACTTCCATGAAGGGCAAGATGGGATGCAACAGAATGCAAGCGGAAAAAAAAGCACACACACAAAATACATATATTTCTTCAACCATCCCCCATTCGTGGTGAAGCATCGGAAACTCAGGACTACGTGAACTGCTGGGCTGGTTGGGCTGTGCACTCGCCTGGGCTGTGCACTCGCCCACTTCCAAATTCCGGCGGTGCAACAAAAAAATGCAGAACTGCCGTACTCGCAACAAAACTCGAACCTCGTCACAGCGTTGCATGGCGCTTCTTGACAGGATAGAATGAGGAATTAAAATCAGTTGAAGATGACTCATCACTCACAACCAGCATCCGATGTGAAATCCACCAAAAACAAACAAACACCGTTCATTAAAGCACCAACAGATAGACCCAACCAACCAGATAGATGCCTTTGCCAGGCTCATCTTTGGCGCTGACGATGCCGCTGCCTCCGAGTGCGCGAGACGCCGTCCGGAAGCGAAGCGCGCAGCGCTAAGCGATGGGCGCCTCTCGTGCGGGTGGATGGTTTTCCCGAATCAAGCTGGAGATATGTGGCTAAAAGACATGGCTCCTTTTTTAGTGGCTCATTTATGTATATTCATTTATTGATTCATTTACCACCGAATTTTGCTTGTCACATGGCATCTTCGTGAAATAGCCTGAATCAGCCCATTCTCCATATAACTCCCACCTCACTCAGCTTCCGCCGTTGGTTGAGGTACCTCAAGGACCTCATCAGCAGTGCTGGGCTCAAAGACGCCTGGGCAGAGCACGGACGCCCAGACGCGGATCAGCTCCGATACGGAGCGGGGGCAGAGAGACGTGTTTTGCGGTGCCAAAGCAGGACTGAATTCGTTGAGTTTGGGATGCTCAACAGTCTTGTTCCTATAGTAGCTTCTTGCTCCTAGCAGTAAGGCCAGGAGCCCCGTTCGTAGCGTCCGAACGCTCCTAGTCGCGATACCAGGAGCCCTTAGTAGCGTCCTTGCTCCTAGTAGCTTGGGATGTTCAACAGTCTGTCAAGTGGGTGAAATGCCCTTCGAGCTTGCAACACCCCACGCAGCGATGGGTGAATCGTCCGCACAGGATGGCGAAGAAGTTCAAATCCGTTCAGACGCAGCATGTGTGGAGCCACAGCGGCCTGTGGTGAGTTATGGCGATTCCTGCGGTGTGTTGCGGATGACAAGTTGTCACTTCACAGATCATTTGATGCTTTCAAGCGTGGTCAAGTTGGCCTTTGCGGAATTGTGACGAAGCCTTCCCCAGAAGCATCAGAAGCTGCCATACGCCTTCAAATCGACACCCTCCAAGAATCAATCACAATTGGAAGCTGGAAGCGTTTTCATGTTCTTCCTTCACCGAGCCCATATTTTTCTTGAGTCAACCGCCTTGAGTCGCGCTTCCTTTCTCTCCGTACTCCAAGGCCCACTTGATGTCCTTGGCCAGTCGAGAGGCCCCGATCCCTTCGAACGGCGTGGATGAACGGCGATGGGGTGGGCTTTGGTGAGCCGTCGGACGAAACACACACATGCTGACAAGCACGAGAGGGAATACGAAGGACTTCGCAGTGGGCTTTGCCTAGAGGCCTATAGGTTGGATTCCAAAAGGTGCGGCACAGAATGTGAATCGTTAAAGGCACTTGACGACTCAGATGCTTGCAAGTGTATGTAAGCGTCATCAAGAACACAGATCTTCTTTGTTTTGCACGAGCCTTTACGAGCCTTTGCATCAGAGTACAACTTTTGCCAAAACAGCAAGGTCCACACCTGACGCATGTCAGAAACACCATCAATCGCTCCGAATCGACCTCTATGTCCGGTTGCTCCGGATGAAGCGGGGATCGCTTCACTTCATATATATTGTTTCTACTAGCGTTCTTGCTCCTAGCAGTATGGCCAGGAGCCCCTAGTAGCGTCCTTGTTCCTTTAGCAGTAAGGCCAGGAGCCCCTGGTAGTGTCCTTTGCTCCTAGTAGCGATGCCCTTTGCTACTAGTAGCGATGCCCTTGTTTCTACCCCTCCCAGAAGTCTCGCCAGGGCTTGGACCGGGACTACGTGACGCGTCCCGAATTCCGGGTGCCATGCGCGTTATCCGCCCGGGTGGGTGGAGCAGTGGAGTGTCGGTGTTCGTTTTTGGGAATGGGAGGAAGTCGAAGTTACATGTTATGTTTGTTGCAATACAGACATTTTGACATGAGTGTTTGAGCGAAAAAAAGAGACTGAAGTTGCATGAAGTTACAAGGCTCCATTGTTGATGTCGAATTGTTGAAACCTCCAGGGTGGTAGCTACCTTGGCGCGCTTCACATAAAGCCACACATTTCCTAAGATCATTTTGTGCCCTTGGTACGCACCCTGACCTAGAAGAAATCGCTGGCTCTTCCATTCACTGCAGGCGATTGTGCAGGAGGAGTACAAAAGAGTCCTCCAAGACCACTCGAAGCGCCTGACCGACGTGGAAGCACAGGCGCCGGACGTGCCGCGACGCGCGTTCTCCAGGGGTTCGGCCGCCAACTTCTTTGCCGCACCCAACAGTGATGGATGGCTTCGGTCCATAGGGAAATTGGGAAACAACAGAGGGGAGACTCTATAAACACCTAGTAAGTGCATGTAAGTGCATCGCTACTAGTAACGTTACTAGTAGCAAGTGCATTACTAGTAACCAGAAGCTACAAGTAATTGAAAAGTGCATAGGAGAGACTAGACGCCTTTTGCCTCCGAGTTTTGAGTTTGACCACAAGAAGGTGTAACTCTAGTGGCGGCTTGATGCGGACTGAAATTGTGACCAGTGACCGGTGTCCCTTTGACACTTTGACGTCCAAGCAGTAGGGTTCAGCTGGCAGAACGAGTGCTTTGCGTTGGTGCACAGGTGCAGGAGGAGAAGCAGGCCAGTCGTGTGTGTTTGTGGATTTATAGGATTGCAATTTGAGTCTGTCTCTGTCAGCAGCTGTGCATTATTAAGGAACGATTGATATCAATAGGCAGTTTGATGAATTTGATCGTCTATGTCAAGATGCGTGTGGCAAAAGGACACCACACCACCTTCAGCCCGGCAGGCACGCTTGAAGCTACAGCAGGTCGTCGTCGAGCTGGCTGTGCCTGGGCTTTCATGCGTTAGTTCGTCAGCCCGTGGTGGTTCAGACAGCTTCGTGGAAACTTTTCACAAGTGGCTCGAGGCCTAATTAGAAGACCCCTGGATCATGCTGGATCGGCGTGTTTGTGAACCTGGATCATGATTTTGGGACTAAGAAAGCAAATCCAAGAAGGTGGAGACGTCTTTGTTTCTTGTTGGCAGAAGGCCGAGTAGCTGATTACCGGCATTTATGTTAATGGACCGAAAAGGGTCAGTTACATTATATGAGCGATCAAGCACCTTTACATGTTGGTCATCGATGTTCCCTTCTTCACATGTGTTTTCTTCCCAAAACTAGACTGAGTCGTGAGCACTACTGAGCGCTGCGTACTTTCTTGTTGGAAGAACAGGTCTGAGACTGTATCTTGAAACGCACCTGAACAGCAAACCTGCTATGAAGCACGGTTTCCATAGGTGATTAAAGCCCCTTCCCTCAGACGATCCCGCAGCAGATATTCTCCTGATGCAATGCTTTCTTACGAAAAACAGATCCAGACTCTACCTGACCCTGACATGCACTGCTAAGACGTTCAAATTGCGCACATGTTAGAGTCCAACAGAATTGCGCTTAGATGCGCTTAGAAAAAGATCTCCATTTTTGACAACCCTCAGCTGTTGAAAACCGCCGCAACGACCGGTGCGCGACGTTTGGACGTCCCGTGGCGTCGTCAGGGCCATGTGGAGGAAGAGCTCAATGAGTTGAAGCCCCAAGTGACCGACGCTCACGAGTGGCTGAAGAGTTCCTTGGAGACATTTGGGTGGCACCTAGTAGCGTCCTTGCTCCTAGCACATATAACTATAGATAGCATCATTGTTGTTATAGGAGTTGGCAGGGTGTAGCATGTTTGGATGTGTTGAGAGCTTCTTGGATTTATCGACCCACCTATATATACATTTGTTTATATATGCAATACGACCACCTTCTGCGCCGCCCTGATATATCATTGACTATCATTGAGATTCAAATCGTTGTGGGAATTTCAACGTTACTCCTAAATTAAGAAATCAATGGGTTTCTTGTCACCAGTTTTTTTCCAGGCAAGAACAGGTACATCCACAAACCGTCCCCCCAAACCAGGATTGGTCGGTAGGGGTTCGAAAGGCTTGGATGAGCGGTGCGAAGAAGAGCATGAAGAGGTCCTCAAGGCGATTGTTGCTGAAAGGTGGAACATGGTGGAATGCAAAGGTGGCAGAGAGATCAGAGAGGGCCAATTGCCTCACCAAGCTAACTTTCATTGTTGCACGACGAAATTTAGCAGATCAGAATGTCTCCAAGTTTGCTTTGACAAGGCCTGTACATGGCTACCGTAAGTGTAACTGCTGTGTGCAGTTGCATGTCACCTGTTGCGAGCCCTCCCCTCTCTCTGCCGTTTCCACCTGCTCGCCTCGCCAGGCCTTGAAGAACCAGGAAGAGCAGCTGGATCAGCGCGAAGAGACGCTACGACAGGAACCGACCTCGACCGACCTCGAGTGACCCGACGGACGCGCGGCGACGGCCGGAACCGCGGCCGACCGTGTGACGCGGACGGCCCGGGTGAAGGGAGGTTCGTTCAGAAGAGTTCGTCCAGCAGAACGGGCCAAATTGGTTCATAGTTGCTTCCTTTGTTGGAGCAATTTGGCCGCCAGTTCCAGCACTCTTAGAATTAGTATTCGTATTAATTATAGTACTCACTCAGTGATTTTGTGAATGTTACTCGACCTCGACCGCGAAGTTGGATCTAGGAGGCGAAGGCCATTGCGAAGAACTTGGATGGAGAGATCTTGGAAAGGAAGGCGACGACGGGGGGGCCATCGCTACGTGGTTGGAGGCCATGGGCCATCGTTCTTAAGTTGGAGGCCATTGCTACATCCCTAGTAGCGTCCTTGCCCCTAGTAGTAAGGCCAGGAGCCCCTAGTAGCATCCTTGTTCCTGCAACTATTAGGTTGGAGGTCGCCGAAGGTCATCTTCTTTGGTGAAACAACTCGTGAAACGAGACCTTGAGGGCCGTGGGACGGGGGAGAAAAGCCACCGGGTTTGAGAATCCACGTTTTTCTGTTTGTTTTTTTCCAAATTGTTCATAGTAAAGCCTCCAGCTTCAGTGAACCATGGGGAAGGAAGCAGAAGTAGGATGAACTTCGACGAAGTTGGCACAAAATACACCACCTTTGCAGCACTGGCATGTGACGCTTCTCCATCACCTGGTGATTCTAGGTGGTCGCTTGAGGTCTTTAGGGCCATGGCAAGTGGTGTCACGTTCTTCAGTACAGCTGTAAAGTGCTGCGAACCACATTTGAGTTGAAACAATAACGCCAGAATAAATCGCAGATTAATTGCAAATTAGTTGTTTGACAGACTATTCTCTCATGAATTCAACAATGCAATGAGCAATGTTCATGCAACCAGCAACTAATCAGAAGCAAATAGCAAACTGTTGGATCTTTATGGCTCTTGTGCTCCATTTGTTCTGTGGGAGCTTCGCTTCTGCCTCATTCGCACCATGTCCTGGACCGCGCGGTTTGGTCTTTGCGCATGGCTGGCGCTCGTGGTTGCCAATGCCACTAGCTTGGAGGATGCTTTGGAGCTGGTGACGAAGAATGTCACAGGTCGCCTGGTGACAACATGGTTTTTGTTTTGTTTGTGGTTGTTGTTGTTGCTGCTGTTGCTGTTGCTGTTTCTGTTGCTGTTGGTGGTGTTGTTGTTGTTGGCAGTTTTTGTCTCTAGGATGTGGTACAAACAAAAACTGCAGCCCCGTTACAGGATATCTTGTTCCTTTGTCTCTACAAGGGGGTGGACACAAAATCTGCAACCCCGTCGTTGTTATTTTGACCCCCCCACCCCCGAAAACAACCAGCCAACATGTACTTTTACCAGTAGTGGTAGTGCTTGTACTAGTGCTAGTACTAGTGGTACTAGTACTAGTAGTAGTCGTTGTTGTAGTGGTCGTAGTAGTAGCAGTAGCAGCAGCAGCAGCAGCAGTAGACTCAGTAGTAGTAATGGTAGTGGTAGTGGTAGTAGCAGTAGTACTAGTAGTAGTAGTAGTAGTAGTCGTGGTGGTGGTAGTCCAGTCAGCTAAGCCTCTGTAAAACTTCTACTTAGAACCTCTACCACATCCTAGAGACAAAAACTGCAGCCCCGTTGTTGTTTTTTTGAACCCCCCCTCAGAAGATGTTGTTGTCTCTACCCCCCCCTAGAAACAAAATCTGCAGCCCCGTTGTTGTTTTTTGACCCCCCCCCCAGAACAACATCCCAGAAAACAAGAAACAGACCAACCAAGACTTGAGTACCACAACGACAAGAAGTCCAGCTACTAACATCTCTCCAAACCTTCGACCCTATCCCTAACAGTACCCCTTTGAAATCCCTGACTTGCAACATGTGACAACTATGTTGAGCAGCTGTTTTTGTCTCTACCTTGTTGTTGTTGTTGTTGTTGTTGTTGTTGTTGTTGTTGTTGTTGTTGTTGTTGTTGTTTATGTTTGTTTGTTGTTTTCTGGGATTCTTCCCTTGACGCTTCCAAGCTGGAAACTGTAAGGGATTCCTTCCAATGTTTGCTAGATCTCGGCACCAAAGTCTCTAAAACTCTCTGTCGCAATGCGCAGAACAAGATGGCTTTCGCGCAGCCAAGGACAGTTCGGCACGAACTTCACTCTGAAACTCAGCTTGTTTGGGGACGGATTGAGAGGGCTCGTCGAAGTTTGGCTGGGCTAGGCTTTGTTCTCTTTGACTTCCTACTCGTCTCATCAGGAAGTGAACCGTTTTTTCTGCTTCATCGCGTATATATTGGTATTCCCAAACCAGTATGCTGCATGTTTGTTCCATCACAATTCAGATCATCGAGTGTGAATCCACCAATCTGCAGAATCTGCAGTGAAAGACAGCTTCACACATGCCAAAGGGAACAACCATTTTCGAGATGTGCACATCCGCGCTTTTGCTGGAAGTCAAAACGTCCAGTTTACAGCTCCCACTTGTTGGAATAATCAAACCTCACTGTGGGTTGCTATGTCATCGTGAGTGCATGCAGCTGCATGCAGGTATCCCTCCCCCCATTTGGTTTACCTTGAACCTCACGATGCAGCTGTGCGGTTTGTACTTCCGGGAAAAGAGCTTGATGTCCCGAGGTGGTGGTCAATATAATAAAATCAAATAAGCACACCAGGAGTCACAAAAGGATGCTGTTGAGTCCCTAAAGTGGATGTTCTGGGCACCCATGGGCACCCCTAACCTCCATTAAGCATCCCTTTGGAACTGCTGGCAGTGATATGTTTCTGTGAAAACACGAAAGGTATGGAGTGTGGAATCCAACGTGTTTGGCGTCGAACCGCTCGAAGTGCTCGACGGAAATCGAAAACAAAGAAACGCTTCTTTCTCACTTGCGTAGCTTGTCATGAATGCTCAAGAGGGCCCCCTTTTGGGGATTCGACCGGAGTGGCAGCGGACATCATGTCAAAAGCTGCGGAAGCTGCGAACCACATGTTTTGAGGCTCGAAACTCACACCGGTGGTTGCTTACAGGCGTCTCCATTTCAAGAGAGCTTCTGTAGCGCAAAATGCGCGAGAGTCCCAACCTTTTAGCTGATCTCTGTCAGCTGAAGCCAATCCCTGACATTCCAGGGAGGTGTGGAATGACTTTCCTCTTTTGGCCGTCCATACGACCCTTGGTGTGTAGTCGTTTTCAAGTTCATTCTTCAGATTGACGAACCTTTGCTGGAGGGTTGCCCACTGAAAGTTGGACTTGTGCAAATCTTCTTCCGCTTCGGTGAGCTGCCCTTTCAAAAATTCAACCTTTTCAATCATTTCACTCAACTCTTCCTCCTGCGCTGTGCACTGCGCCTGGAGCTCAAAGAGTTCCGCCTCCTGATCCCTGGTGATGTCTTGGAGTCTCACATTTTCATCTTGGAAGAGGCGAATCATCTTTTCTGTCTCTACGTCGGTTTGGGTTCCGACTTGTGAAGAGCTCGAGGTGGTGGTGCTCAACTCTTTAGACCTGGTAACCGGAGGGTTCAGTGATGTAGAAACTTTGAAGCACTGCCAAATGAACATGCCGAAGAGAATGACATAGAGCGCTAGGGTCACTTCAGGGGAGAGGAGGAATGCCAAGGTCTCCTCAACTGCCATGGCTTTCACACCCATCATTTGTGAAGTGAGAACTGCGAATGCTAGCTGCTTTGAGTTGCCGGTTCTTGCAATGGCGTGCCTTCTGGAGTTTGCTTGCCTTTCTGCTTGCGACTTCTTCTTGGCCGCTTGGAAGGTCATGTCGGACTGGAGGGAAAGGCAATGAGATCGTAGTCGATCTGCAAACAACTGTCTTGCGCTGTGCTTGGTGACTCCGTCGGCGATTTGGGCTTCCGACGATACCCACTTCAGGCGGGTTTTCATTCCCACCATTTTCTGCTTTGTCACCATGACCTCGATCTTGGTGCGCTTGTCACCCTGGAGGCTAGGAGTCTCGGCCTTCAAGGAGTCGTACAGGGCCTTGGCGTCCACGACCAATGCCGAAGGCATCTCAGGAACAAAGCTATCCACCTGGCGAAGCTGAAAGTCGTGGCGGATGCAGCCTTCCCAGAAAATCAAAAGATATTCTAGAGCGTCCATCGCTGCAGATGAAGCTTGGCTTTCGGCATTGAGGGAGGATCGACTGATCCGAGGCAGCTTGAAGCTGCGCCAGTCCAGGATGATATAGTCCTGAGTGGAGCCATCTTCCAGCGCTTGCTGGTTGCAGAGAAAAATCAGGTAGCCGCCCTGTGATTCGTTGTTTCTGCGCACTCCCCAAGCTGCGTCACTCATGGCGATCATGCACAACTTCTCCATATCGCCTCCAAGATCTCGAAAGATCAATGCTGTGTCGCCGTTGGATTTGGCGAATCTGAGAACTTTGTTGGCCTGGGATGCTGTCTCGCCAGTTGCCGTGGTGACCTCTCCACATAGCAGGGAAACCGAGGCGCTGAGGTGTGGAGATGTCTGTGTAGCTGGCCATTGAAGTGCTCCCAACAAAGCTCGAAGACAGCTCTGCTCTTTGGAGTTGAGATTGCGATTGGAGTCATAGTCGGTGCATGTCATCGGTTTCACTCCTTTGAGGTATTCGGCTTGATGCAGCTTGGATTCCGTGGTTGTTCGACTGAGGTGGCATCCACAAAATTCAAGAGGCTTGTCCTCGGTCTCCTCAGTCCAGTGCTTGAAGTTGAAGGCATCTTTCAATTGCAGCTTGAGACTTTCGTACTCAGGGTGGCCATCTTTTCCACAACCTAGTAGGTCATCAACATGTAGACCAACCAGAGAGATCAGTTGCTTGTTGGAGTCGTGGAAGGTATAGAGGCATTGATCCAAGGCGTGAGCCCTGAAGCCAAGGTTCTCCAGGCGTCTTCGGGCGACAATGAACCACTGTCTTGGAGCGTCAGCCTGGCCATATATTGGCTTGATCAACCTCATCAAGGTTCCAGGAGCCACACCGATGATCTCGCAGGCATCTTTTGGAATCTTGGCCCACAAGGTGCGTTCTTGAGGATCTCCTTGGAGAAAAGCTGTGGACACATCGGCCGTCCATCTTCCCCAATGACTGACCTGGCTGATGGCCAGGAGCACCTGTCTTGAAGTTCGTGCCAGAGTCGGGGATGACGTGTCAAGTGATCCTTGAAGAAGGTCAGGATCGGAGAATCCTTGGAGTACGAGTCTGGCTTTTGCTTTCAAACCACCTTTTCCATCCGAAGCCCATTTCAGGACAAAGCGAGCTTTCATCACTCTGTTGTGGTCAACCGCGGTGGGATCCATCTCGATCTCCCAGACGCCATTCTCGA